AGAAGTAGGCAAATGAAACCATCTCAGCAGGCTGAGCCTGGATAATGCAACGCAGATGATAACTCAACAGTCTCCATGTGAAGACTGCCCGCGGCACAGCTCCCTGCAGAGCTCTCCCCAGCCAGTATCTCCTTCTCTTCCAGCATCAGCAAGGTAGACTCTTTGAGCACACGCAAAGAAAACACATCACTCCCCCTAGCAGATCTCTCACTGGTAGGTGCCACGGGGCTCACTGGTGTCTCACTGAGATGAAAGGACCCCCATCAGGATGGCAATGTCACACATGAGCTAGACTTTGTGATTTAGAAAGCCTTCATGAAATGGGGCTGGTTTAAGCCTTCTCTGAAATAAATCGTATTCTGGTATAGGTCTGTGCAATGGAAACAGGCTGTAAGAGTGTCTTGCTCAGTGCTGGCCAAACTGACCCTGGTGGGTGACCTCTGTTTCTGCACTGTGCATGGGTGGCTCCATCTAATCGTTTCCTGCCCTCCCTTGCGTGTCCTAGGTAGCTTCTGGCTTTATCCATGCTTTATTCTGGCTTTGTTCATAGTTTGGTCCTGATACAGGATCAGATGGGGGTAGAGCAAATGTCTGATGAATGACTTCTTTCCTGGTCAAATCATCACCTCTGTCTGGTATGAGTTAGGGGGATTCCACCTCTCTCCAGGGATGCAGCTCATGCTTGCTTATATGACGCTGTTGGACTTCTTCCTCCGACAAGTCAATCCAACTGGATTTGAAGAAATCTCACTGGTATGATATTTCCTAAACCATAGCTGACCCCACCCCCATTCATCTCCATGAATTTTTACAGCCCTGTTTTATCTATACTTGTCAGCCCCGTGTGCCACATCCTTCTGGAAGATAAACTGGATTTTAGAATGAAACACGAGGCCAAATTCACTGCTTCTTAATCCACACATAATTCCACTGATTCTAGAGGGATTGCATTAGGTTTCAAATAGCAGAGGCTCTGGCAGTTTCTCCCTATGATTGTATGTTGTTTTCAGCAAAATTTCTTTACACAATATGAGGGAACTCATTTGGTAAGATAGCTATTAAAAGAGATTTTGGTTAAGACTAGTACCAAACCCAAAATTTATTGGAGTTTGGGGAAAAAAGAAAAGGGGGGGGGGGGCATATTTTTCTGAAGGCTCTTTATATGTGCATCTATAAATCCTATACAGGTCCAAAAATGTACATGTCAAAACACTGATTTTTTTTTGTTAAAGGAAGCTGAAAAATTGGAGCAGGAGGAAGAATTCCATGAGGGAGCCACAATATTGACTTGTGGTCAAGAGAAATGTAACTTATAGAAATATCAAGAGATGTCTTGATTACAGCATATCAATTCCTTATTAAGGGATAAAAAATCCTCTGCATGGCAGACTCTTTATCAGAGAAAGGTCCGTGGCCAAATAGTCTTTGGAAGGAATCAAAAGCAAAATGATTAGCCTTAGAAATACTGCTTTGAGGAAGGAAACCAGCAAATGCTGTGTGTTCAGGTACCTTCACATAAAGGCTGGATTCTGTCTGGGAGGTGTTGTGGTCAGTCTTGAAGTCAGAAACAATTTGCTGAAATTCTATTACATCTTACGCAGAGATCATTAGAAAACCCCAAGTCATACTTCTCAGCCTTAAATCTTTGAGCCATCTGAGCACCGTACGAAAAACTGCTCAAATATTACCAAGCTGTGCATGATCAGGAAGGGCTGGGAAGCGCAAACAGTGTGCTTACTACCATAAAAACATTAAATGAATTGTGTATTATTGTAATGCCACTGGACTGCAACCATGGGAGCAGCCATTTGATGAGTAGGAAAAAACCCAAGCCTTTGCATCCTAATTTTCTGATCAGTTCAGTGCTGACAACAGTATTAATGCTGCTGGTCATTCCAGCACCTTGTCCTTACAGCCCACTCCTACCTGATTAGGAGAAAACTAAAATTTTGTCTTCTAAAAGCAAGCATACCTTATATGGCATTAAATCCAATGGATTAAACATACCAAAAAAATCAGCTTTTCATAAATCTGTGCTTTAGTTCATTTTCCATAGATGACCATATGAGGGATGCAATATTCCTTATGGGACCCTGCAAATATTTCAAGTCAAGTATTAGACAATATCTTTAGTATTAGAAACTTCTGGTTTCATTTAAAATGACACAGATGTTTTCAAAATCAATGCATATTTCTAAAAAGGTGAAGGACATTAGAGTGCATGTTCAAGAGAGAAGGAAAACACAATAGCTAAGTGCATTGTAGTTGATCCTTTTTGAAGATTTTGAAGATTTGCTGGCTTTAACCAGGAGCACCTGCAGAGTTTTTCCATTACAGGACATGCTCTGAAAGGTTGGTGTTCAAAGGTGTCTAACAACCCTTCCAGGTAACACTGTAGAAGGCCATACATCATACACAGAGCCTCCGTACACTTGATGCTTCTCAACAACTATATGTGAAAGCAAAAAAGCTCACCTAATGTTTCTCTCTAAGTGGACATCTGTTAAAACAATGCTTGTTTGCTTGTGATGCAGAAGTGCTTCACAGTTTATGGCACTGGGAAAAGGGCAAGAAAAACATTTGTGATATCTCTTACAGTTTGAAACATTTAATGGAATCTTGAAAAGATCCCATTCATGCGTAGTATCAACAGGTGTGACCCTTTCTCTTGCATGGATTTAAATCCCTGCCATTAATCTCAATCCCTGTCTCTGCTCAGTCTGATTTCATCACATGGAGGAATAACCTGTGATGATAAAAAGCAGTTTGTGCGAAGTGAATGAAATGACCATATTGTCAGGGATTTTACTGTAATTTATACCATATGAAAATTTGCCCTTTGGGGACCGTAAATCAGTTCAGATCTGTAGGGTTAGCCTACCCTAAACACAAAGATAAAAGAAGTGGTGTGAACTCTTCCAGGTATTAAAAAAAGAAATTCCTGGGGGACTGTTAACTGGAAACAGCTGCTTTAAAAATGAGCTCAGAGCTGTCCCTGCAAGGTTTTCAGGCTTACATAGCAATTCACAGTCAAAGTATTAGTAATAGCAAATTTCTCTCCTCTTTTCACAGTCTGAGGAAATGTAACAACTTTCAAGTTGCTTTTGCAGTCACTGTATGAATTTATTTACTTCGGATCTTTATATTTTCATTGGAAACTGTTTTCTTTCAGCTGGGCTTACTGAGAAATCTGAAAATGTGGCGAAACCGGGGACATGCTGTGCCTCTTGTAAGGAATTTCATCAAATAAAGCAGATGGTTTTACAACTGAAGCAAAAGGTAAGAACACTGATCAGCCATGTCTTTACCAGACCTGCACGTTTTATGGCAACTGAGGTTAAATTTAAGTGTTTGGAGCTGTCACTGCCTGTGGCAGAGACTGTGGCTCTTGTGGCCATAAAGATGATGGCAATATATTTTTAAATCATGTTGGAATGGCGTCTCTTCTTTATGCTTCTGTATTGCTTGTAAGCAGATTGCTAACCAAGCTCATGGAGCTGTGTTACCAAGCTCATGGTAACAGAGTCTGCCAAACTCCCATTCCAGTCTGAGGCCAGGTTTCTTGGCAATCTGTGCTGGCCTCAGCTTTTCATTCATTCTAAATGCACAAGATTTTGGACTTGATCCACCTTTAGTACAAGCAAGTGCAAGACATTCTGCAGATGCCACAACATGGGAGAAAATGATCTTGCATTAATGGGATGCTGATACAGGATTCTTCCCAATTAGGAGGTATATGGCTAAATAAAACCACCACTAAGCTTTGATTCTCTTACAAAGAAAAACCCTCGGCCCTAACCTCTTTCATTTTCACCTTTGTCCTTACAAGTAGACAATAATGCACTTAAAAACTTGTCCTGGCCTTTAACTTTAATTGCTCCTGTAAGTGGCCTCCTTTTGCACTTAATGAGGATTGAATTAACTCAGAGACTCAGAATTTGGAGAGGCAGGTGTAGGTATTCAGGTGTAATTCCTTTTCTGGTAACATCACCTTCAAACATTCAGGCTTTCTTAAATTGAAATGTTCTGCAGGAATATTCTCAACAATTCTTGTTGACAGGCTGTAATTATTTCACCCAGGGTGCTCGTTTAGTTTCATTGTGTCAAAACACAATTTGGTGTTTTCACTTGTTTCATTTAATGTTATTCATTCAATGCAATTTATATTAGGAAGAAAGACGTCTACTTCACTTAAATGAAATATACTGAATTTAGAGATACTCTTTATCTCAAAAATCTCAGAATGTCATGTTTTCCTTCTGGATCAGCAGGGAGAGGAATGTGGAAGTGGCAGAATTTCATGTGCGATGGAGATTCTGATTTTCAAATAGTAGCAGACAGGTTAAAAAAGAATCCTTTCTTTTTAGTGTCTGTTTGTCCAGCTGCAGTCTGTGATGCTGAGCAGGCTCACACTGACCTCTAGGAAGGGATCTGGGTCACGCTGTTGGCCAAGTCTTTTGCTGCGAGAACTGATGGAAACCAATGGCCTGAATCAGTAAAAAGTTTTTTGTGTCCAACTTCCACTGTTAGATGCCTGTTTTCAAATCTCACTCCTGGAAAACTAAGACCATCAATACCTGACACTGTGAGCACTTGTACAGTAGCTGCAGCCAAACTAAGCAGCTCACTCTTGCTTCATAGCCAAGTCCTGTCATGGTCTACAGCTTAAATTTCCCCTAAGTATCTTCCTAGTGGGAATTCATTTATTTGGCATCCTCAGAGGGAGCCCCGGGTTGTGCCTCACACAGACAGGGCTGGAAGAGGTGGTCTCTGATACCCTCAGCATTTTTTATCCCACGGTGAGGAGACCTAACCTCATGCTGCTTCTCTGCCCACAAGGAGATGGACCCTTGTGTTTCACCAGCTGCTTCTCCTGGCCAAGTTCTTCGGGGGAGGATGTCTCTTAATATCTGTGTTTGAAGCTGTTCTGGTTTGCACAGAAAAATTCACTTCTGTCTGCCAGAGACACAGTTTATGGGAATGAGTCTTCAGTTTTGTGGTTAAGGCTTTCAGATTTTATGAACTTTATGCAAAATTATGTTTAGCAGAAGAGCCTGTGAAGGATCCAATCCAGCAAACTCTACAATTGGGAACTGGTGTATGCTTCTGGAAGTGGGAGGTGTGGATTTGTGTCTCCTTCAGAAAGGACAGGGTGAACGCAAGTCCTGCTACCTCTGGTGATGGCACCAATACCTTTTTGGAGGATTGCAACATCCATGAAAGGATACAGGAAAAGGTAGTTCTAGGATCAGGAACAGAAAGTCACTTTGCATGGTTAACCCAGTTGGATGCACTGTTCCTAGATACTAGGGAACTGTGGGCAGTCCTTTGTTGATCTCAGACCTTGCTGGAAGGAAGAAGAATGGAAAGCTGAAAAACTGGGGAAATGTATCTAACATGCTGACACTCAGCCAACAATTTAAAACAACAAAAAAAAAAAACAACCACCAAGTAAGCTGGATCCTATTACAGAGACGTGTTTAATTAGAAAACCATGTTCCAGATCACTTCTGTCAAGCACTGTCAAAGTCACCTAAACCACACATCTCCTAGAAACTACTCAAAACTCCAGATGCAGCATGCAACACAGCATATGGGAGTCTTGGTTTTAATACTCTCTTTCTTTAAAATTTACCCTCACTAATATTTGCATGCACATGGAAAGCAAAAAAAAATATTTTCCAAGGGCCATTAAGATTTGGAGCTGTGGACAGAGAAAGCCAAGGTCACTCTGGAAGATGATCCTGGTTCAGTTAAAAGGTGAAATAGAAATTAGGCCAGTGAGTATAGCCAATCCCAAAGAGGATGTGAGTCAACATCAAAAACAAATGGCTTGGCCCCAGTGCATGTAACAACCATTTTCTGGCCAGAAGATATCAAAGAGCAGTGAGCTAGACCAGAGACTGGGTATTTTGGCACTCTCAGTGTATGCCTCGGGTCCATCTGACTCAGTGGGGAAGCATGTGTAGATGCTTTCACAGCAGCTATCTGATCTTTTTTTTAAACTTAGTTATTACAACAGCCTTGTTGGCAGGAACAAGTCAATATTTAAGCAACAGAAAAGAACACACTTTCAAATCCTATTCATGATAAATCTTTAAGTTATATTCATGGCAAGGACTAATACTAAGTGATGTCTATTTATTAGCTGAGATAGCTATACATCTCCAAAACAGGATCTGGTAGTAAATTTAAGTACAAGCTCTAAAGGGGACATCAATTAAGCTGTCACCCAACTGTGCACACCCTTAAGGAGAAATACTCACTGACGTTAAGGAGAAGCACTCACTGATGACACTGAAAATATTCTCACAAAAACTGCCTGGAAAATCCAGCGCTTTTAGGTAGTCACACTATTTAACTCCTTCTTGGTTTAAGCATGGCAGCATTAGCACTGCAGAGCCCTTGACTAGAGTCACATAGTGAAGGTTTTGCAGCACGATGATCCTTGCAACCATTCCATACATGTCCAGTCAGGACCCTCCTTTGGACAGGACCTTGCACCAGGAAACAAAACTTTAAAGTGTGCTGACCAGAGCTGTGCAGTTGACCTCCCCATGCTGGTCCCTGGCAAGTATGGCTGTGAGAGCTCCCAGCTACTGAATCTTCCTCTTTAGCCCCAGGCATAAGGTACTGTGACCCATGGAGGAGCCTTTCCAGCGGTCCCACACTTTGTTGTGTGCTACAATGGCTGGGATGTTGGCTGAGAAAGCTGCAGGATCATTAGTAGACAAAGCAGATGTTTTTCCTTGTAAAACCACAGATGACAGTCCAGCCCAAAGCAGTAGGTGTGCTGGATCCCCATTTTTTATGTGAGCAGATTCATAGGAGTAAGCTCATAAGAAACACCCTGTGGGGCTTCTGTGATGTGCTGACTTCATCCAGTCACTGATTTCTGTGGGGGTGGACAGACTCTACCAAATTCTTGTAAGACTTACATCACTTGATTTGTCTTTAGTGCATCTTGTGTTTGAAACAGCAATGTTCTCCAAAACCTGAGTAACAAATGACTGATAAATCTTTGTATTCCTGTCATCGCGTTTTGAATTGCACTCTGAAAAATCAAACTGGTGTTTCGGAAACACCACCATGAACTGTCTTAATATTTCTAACTTTTTAAGTCTTTTTTCCCCTCACTTTTGCTTCCCTCAGAACTGTTCTGTGCATCCAGACACCAAACTACAAGCATCACTGGCTGCCCTTAAAGTGCATACTTAAGTAATAACTTGACAAAAGAAATTTGCCCAGTTATAGGGTGTACTGCAAGTGCATAGCATTTTTTTTTCCTCTGTGTGTTACAAACATTAGGTTTGCACTAAGGCCAGAAGCATGTGCATCAAAAAATTACAGAAGAAAGCATGGATCTTGAGAACAGCCCTGCGCAGGGAATTCCAAAGAGCTGATTAAAAGCATTGACAGGTAGCAGGAGTCATCATGTATTTTATTTAATGAAGCTCTCCCAACAAATATTGCAGAATCCAGCATCACCACTGAACCAAATTCATTCAAGGAGCTACAGAGCTGACCCAGAAGTAGATCTGCCCCGGTATTGCTCAAATAACTCTTTGTTCCATTTGGCAGAGCAAAATTCCCAACTGTACATGCAGTCACCAGCCAGTAATAATCTTCTTTCCTCACTGCAAACCAGCTGCCTGCCTTGTCATCTCCCTTCAGCTGGATCTGGAGAGACAAAACATTTGCAGAATACTTCTAAATATGACAGAATCAAAGAATCACAGAATGGTTTAAGTTGTAAGGGCTCTTAAAGCTCATCCAGTTCCAACCCCCTGCCATGGGCAGGGACACCTTCCACTAGAGCAGGTTGCCCCAAGCCCCGTCCAGCCTGGCCTTGAACACTGCCAGGGATGGGGCAGTCACAGCTTCTCTGGGCAACCTGTGCCAATGCCTCAGCACCCTCATGGGGAAGAACTTGTCCCTCATATCTATCTAAATCTACCGTCATTCAGGTTAAAGCTATTCCCCCTTGTTCTATCCCTACCTCCCTGCCCTTGTTAAAAGTCCCTCTCCAGATTTCTTGTAGCCCCTTTAGGCACTGGAAGCTGCTCTAAGGTGTCCTCAGAGCCTTCTCTTCTCCAGGCTGAACTCCAACTCTCTCAGCCTCTCTCCATAGCAGAGGTGCCCCAGACCTCGGATCATCTTTGTGGCCTCTTCTGGACTTGCTCCAATAGCTGCATGTCTTTCTTATGCTGGCGACCCCAGAGCAACAAACCTGCTGAGGGCGTGCTCAATTCCAATGTCCATGTCACCAACAAAGGTGTTAAACAGTGAGAGACCCAACACCGATCCCTGAGGAATATCACTTGTCACTGGTCTCCACTTGGACATCGAGCTGTTGATTGCAAGTCTTTTGAGTGTGACCATCCAGCTAATTCCTTATGCACTGAGTGTTCCATCCATCATATGCATGTCTTCCCAATCCAGAGAAAGGATGTTGTGTGGGACAGTGTCAAATGCTTTGCACAAGTCCAGGTAGATGACATCAGTCCATCTTCTGTTATTCATCAATGCTGTAAACTCATTGTAGAAAAAAGAGTTTAACTATTAAATATATTCCATCTGGGCAGATTAATATTTCATGGGTAATTAAGGATCTGATGTAAGTGATAATGACATTTTAAACTACAGTGTGCAATTCTCCTGACATTCTCACTTACTTTAGCTTTGTGTTTCTATGCAGAGCAGATCCACACATCTGTCAGGTTAAACAGTAGGCTTACAGGGCCAGATACACAAAGGATTGGGCGCTGTCGCTGAAACCTATGAAAAGTTACAGGCTGTGCAGAAACTGAGAACTCAGCTATCTGAGCTAATGTTGTCCTGAGAAAGAGCAGTAAATGAGCAGAGAAAACTTTAAATAAGGAAAAAGTTTTCCTAAGAACATCCAAGCAGCTATAAGACAAGTTTTTGACAACATGCTGCTGTATGTCTCCTGAATTTCTCCTGCCCTCCATTTGGATTGAATTGCAGTATTTCCACAGTGGCTTGAAAAGCGAACAGCCTTAAACGGTAACATTTTTTTTCTGATTATTTCAGTGAAGGATATGATTAAACATTTTGTATTTTGCTGGAGAACATAAATATGCTGTTTGTCCACATGAAAGCTTAACCAAGAATGTAATTTATCCAGCTGAACGGTGAAGGGCTTACACTGATTTTTGGTTTTGGCAGGTTGCTTTTCTACCAAATAATGCTGCTGATCTTAGCAAGCAGATCACTGGTGAAAAAGTGCTTGCATCTAATGCATATATCCCTGGCCCCCCAGGCCAGCCTGGCCAACCAGGCCCTCCAGGTAAGATACAGACGAGAGAGACATGAATGTGCAATAGTACTATGAATAAAGGTCATATGCACATCTTTTAGTGTGATCAGATTTAATGTGTTTCATATTTTGATTGTTATAATTATATTTGTGTTTGTGCTAAATTTAAAAACTTTCTGGTCATTATGGCCAGCCTCTGCCAACTGTCGAACATCATCCATTGTGTCTTAGTCTCCATGTGTTTTTTGGCATGCAACCTGTGTTTGTCCTGTATGTGTTAAATTTCTCCCTCTCCCTGGGATATCTCACCTGCTTCAATTGCCATTTCCTGCATATTAAATCTGTCTTAAAACACTCTCCATTTCATTTCAGGAATGCCTATTGCTTTAGCTCACTATCATTAGTAAAACAGAAAATGTGCTTTCAGTTTGTGGGGCTTGGTGCCAGCTCTTCCATTTTAACTCATTTGGTTTTGCAAGGATTCATTTGGTGTTTTTAGGTTGTATTCCAGATTCAAAGGAATCTGAAAAGAAACATAAAACTCTACTCACACCTTCTTTGCTAAGGTATAGCTTGAAAAGTCATAAAAGCAGAGAACTCCTAAAGCTCTGACTTAAGCCAGACACCTTGCAACCAGTGATGCTAACAATTTTGCAAACTCTGTTGAATGCACATCTAATTTTGGGATAGCAATGACTCCAAGGAATTTTAGCACTGTGCTGGCTTTCAGGAGTATTCTCCAGAGGAGTAGCAGATATTCCTTACAAGGTTTTATTTACTTACAATCGAGCTGCACGCACATACACACACACATTTATTCCCACTTTTGCAGTCTTGCTTTGGTTTTGTGTCTTTATCTCATTTTCTTGAAGGATGAGTATCTTCAGTCTTCAGTATTTCAGAAGTGCGAGGACAATATGGTTAGAGATTCTGTCTCAGACTCTGCACTGTAAGTCCAACGTAGGCCTGACTCTGCAGGTCTTCCATGTGGCTCCCCCATGACTGAGCTCTCCAAGGTGCTGTAGAATGTTCTTTTCCACTTGAAAACCACTCCTGCTCACTTCCTGTCTGCTCTGCTGCCAGCAACAGTGCTGCTGGATCTCTAGGAGTCTGAGGTTCAAAACTGAACTTGATTTTACTCCTTTTGAAAACCCTAACTATATGTATTCTGTCCTGCTGAACCCTTTCTACTCTCTTTCATTTTATATGTGCTTCACATGCCTTCAGTATGAAGAAAAGTGCTTTCCCCTATTAAGCAATTCAGCGAGTGATACTTTAATGGCCTTTATATTGTGCAAATGTTGTTTCAGGTGCCAGATTTCCTTTTTTGCTTTTCATAGTGTTCCTCTTGAGCTAAACATACGTTTTGTGGCTTATGTGCTTCCTGAAAATTAACGTTCTCTGCTGAACCAGCAGAAGCTGAAAAGGATGTAAACCAAAATGGAATAACAGAGACTTTTTTGCCCCTAATACATGGGCTACCATACTGGACAAAAGAAAGATGCAACAGAAGAAGCAACCCACCACTGAAAAGGGCTTGCTTGCTTCTGTGCCAGTCATGCATAGTAGATGTCTTTGATCTAACATTCCTATGAGTTTTATGAGACTTGTTCCTTTCTTCTTATATGGCATTGCTGCTTTTCATTCCCACTCTGTGTCCGTAATCACCTGACAGTCTTGGCTTCCTTGTATATACAAGGTTTAATTGTTTTCTGAACATCTCTTGTAGCTACTGTGACAAGGAGTTATACAGTCTCAGATGATTGCTGTGTTGGCTGTTCTGTTATGGATTTGGGTGTCTTAAGGCAACCAGTTCATTGGGTGGTTCAAAAAAATGGTCAGTCCCCACTGCTTGCACTGATCAAGTGTCCTGACGGCTTTTCCTAAGGAGGTAACCTTTGCTGTTGATTGCAGGGGCGCCAGGACCAAAAGGGAGTCAAGGAGTTCCTGGGTCACCTGGACCTCCCGGACAGCCAGGACCCCGCGGATCAATGGGACCTATGGGCCCATCTCCAGACATATCACACATTAAGCAGGGCAGACGGGGCCCCGTGGTCAGTACTCTTATCTCCCATTGTGGATTGCACAATTGGCCTTAGCTGCACAGCTGCTGATGTCCCTGCAAACACTTTCTTTTCTTTTGCAGGGTCCACCAGGAGCCCCAGGGAGAGATGGCAGCAAGGTGAGGAGAGGTACTGTTTTTCATAATGTGGGCACATGTACATGTGAAGTGCAGGTTTGCTAGAGAGACCCTCTGCAAGATTGTAGTCACATCCTTTTACCATCTCATTTCCTTTATTAAGCTGCAAACATCCTGTTGTCTCATCCGTTCATGTCTTCCTTCTGCTATTTTGTATTTGCCATTCCTTAAGCCTGGGAAACAGCCCTGCCAGGCTCTGTGTCCAGCAGCTTCCTTTCCTTTCTGTGCTGCTTTTTTACCTTTTACATGAAGAAATGTTGATGCTTTACCCATTTCATTATATTAATTTCTCCTGTTAAAGGGTTTGCTTGTTGCAGTCTAAGAGAAATACTAGAAGTGCCCAACTCTGTTGCCACTAGAATTAGCAGCAATTTCCTTGCCTTCCTCCTTCACTTTCTTTTTCTGAACAAGTGTACAATGATGATTCTAGATCTAGGGACAGTTAAGTAAAGAAACTGGCAGAGGCAAACTGTGATTTTTTTTTTCGTTTCCTTTTGTCACAACAAAGTAATTGAGGTGGTATTGATTACAGGGGGAGCGAGGTGCACCAGGACCAAAAGGGATACCTGTAAGTATTGCTCAGAAGAATTTCCACAACAGAATGATGCTGACTACATACAAGTCAGCTGAAAGGAAAACAAACAAACAAAGAAATCTCATGTAAAAAAAACAGTGAAAGATACTTTACATGCACAGAAAATATTATTGGAAAGAAAGTAATTACCTGTTTTCATCCAAGTGTTTTTGCCTACACACCTCTTCCCTTGCTGGGTGGTCACTGAAGGCAACAAGTACACCTCTGCCCTACAACAGCAGTAGGACATCCTCAGAAGGCAGGAGCGTGAGATCCCATGTAGAGTATAAGTTAGTACAGTTCTGTCACTGCTCTTTATGGGAGTTTGAGCCCTGGAACCTGGAATCCTGCCCCTCATCTCTCTCTAGGCTTTGGGAAGCTATAGGCTTTGAGCAAGACATCAGGAAAAGGATGAATATTTACAATCTTTTTTCAAGTTATATTGTTTAAAAATCTATTTATTACGGTGTTTTCTCAGTCATGGAATGGATTTTTACAGGTGTGTCCAGCAGGATGTCCTCAGTATTAAACAGTGTACTTTACTGTGTGAAGTCATCTAAAAAGAGATGATGATTTTCCAAAATCAGTTAAAACCAGATGGCTACTCTCTGCATTGTAATTGCCAATATTTTTAGTAACTGATGGACAGCAGCAAGGTTACCATATTGAAATTACACTTTTCAAATACTAGCATTCTTAAGAAAATATTTAAAGAGATAATAATTGTTGATTGATAAGTCATTCTAGGTGTGTAATTTCTATCAGTTTAACAAGAAGGAACACAAGAAACCAAGATTTATCTCCTCTGTTCCCATGAGGAGAACCTTCATAATATGTTAAGATAATCTTAGGAGGCAGAGATAGCAAAGGAATTGTTAAGTAACTGAAGGTCTGAGCCTCTTATAAATGTAAATTACTCTGTCTGCAAAAACATTTGCCTTCTTTTGAAAACTGTTGCCTGAACCAACTGATTCAAAACCAGAGCATTAACATTTGGGAATTGATATGAAGCAGTATTATACTGGGTTATCCCTGCAAGAGTAATTATATCAACCTGTTTGAAAACTCTGAGGCCGAAGTGGGTTATTATTTCTGACTGTGCCTTGTGACTGCAGGGCCCACCAGGTTCATTTGATTTCCTGTTGCTGATGATGGCAGACATCAGAAATGACATCGCTGAGCTGCAAGAGCGAGTATTTGGACACAGGACTCATTCATCAACAGAGGAATTTCCATTACCTCAGGAATTTACAAACTATCATGATACAGTAGATTTTGGATCTGGAGAAGACTACAAACCAAGGGCAGAACCCAGAGACTCCAGGATACAGAAGGCAGCCCATCCTTAGCTACGCCTACTGAAAAAATAGAGCCCCTTCAGTATAAAAATGCACTGACAATGTAAAATATATATATATACTTATATATATATTATTTCCCAATTTTCTCTCTGCTTTTCCCCAACCATGCTGCCTGTACTGTAGCTTTCCAGATTCATGGTAGCCTCCTTGTAGTAATTCCATACTGTCAAGCCTGCACTGTGCATTGTACTAGATTGTCAAGAAAAACTTCTTAGTGTATAATACAATTCAGGCATGCTCTAGGATTAACTAGACCACAGCATTTCATCTGCCTACTTTGCATTATATGTCCAAATGACCCAGTACCCAAATTTTGCCAGGGATAGATATGTAGCTGAACACTATCCCTGAATGACACTAATAATGAAAACCTTGGTCCACGATTACTTTATACATGTAAACATATTGCATCACTGAACTCAAGTCTCCACCTACTGTCCCCAGGCTTAGGACAGTGTCTTAGGAGAAGTGGATCCCTGTTTCACAGCATAGGCCACAGGCTAGCTGTAAGTGAGGTATCTTCTTCTATTATGCTCCCACATGACAGAAAAAGGCAAAAAAAAAAAGTGAAACAGTGATACAAGGGCACTACTTCCTGATGGGGAAATTATTTATCTTTGTGTTGCTATTGTTCAAAAAGAGTCAAAAAGATAGACCACTACTTTTCCTTTACCACTCACCCGCTACTGAGTGTGAAGGCCAGTTCCCTTCCTCAATAGATTCATGCTGGAAACATTACACAAAGATGAGCAAGAGAATAGGGGATGTATAAAGCAGGAACACCAATTGTAAGTGAGTCAAGTAGGCTTACTGGCAAGTACAAAACCAATCCCAGCCTTGCAGAAAGAGTCAGAGTGTGACTTCCTGTGGGTGCATGTCTTCCTTGGTGAAATGCTGAAGTCCAGGTGAAACAAGACCAGAGAGAGGCCTCATGTTTGCAAAGAGCTTCCATCTGTTTCCTCCCTCTGCTGTATCAGAGCAACCTAAATTGCATTCACAGAGCTGGAACACAATGTTGCAGTGTATTTGGCTGGGTTGTACAGGGAGTATGAGTAGGAGCAGGAGTGCAAATGACAGAACACTTCAACTGGTACAAGGATGGCTAAGGTGAGGTACTGCACATGGGATCCCATATTTGTGAAGAGGGATGAGCAAGAGTGCCCTTTTTTTACACTGGAAAATTGGATGCACAAGTTAGATCATACCTCATGGATGATGTATGTTACCATTTCTTTTGGATTATGACAGCTGCTGAGGACTTTGCCATGCTTAGAAGATAAAGGAGTATATTAAGCACAAAACTTCTATGTTGTATCTGTGTAGCTGCTACTTTTACAGTATGTTTAGTGCTGGCTCACGTCCACGTTACAAATGAAAAGCAAAACCTTATTTTGCCATGTTTTTCAGGGCTTGTTCTAACAGAATACATATACATAAAAATACAAGGAGCCCTTTAAAGATAGCCTGTAAAGGTTTGGATTCCCTTCCATACTTCCAGGCCAAAAGACAGTTGGTGTAATCTCTACATCACCAGTACAAGTTATGCTGTATAAACAGCTGGCTAGCTAGATCCTTCCTATCTTTCTTATATTATCTTAAGACAATGTGTTAATTCCTCTGATTGTTTCCCAACTTGTTACTATCACTATGCCACAAGCAAGGGCATTAGCTTTAAGACCCTTAATGTTCTGTATTCCTCTTCACACTATATGTATTTCAATATTTACAAAGCAATGACTAAGTCACTGGGATAGCTTAGCAAAAGTGGTAATGCTCTCATACTGTGGTCTTTGGGCTTCTCCTCTGGGAGGGGTTCTGCCAGCAGCTGCAGATCCAAGCAGTCTTGTGAACCACATAATAAAGACATCAGTAAGGCTTGGGGAAGGAAAAGACAGATGGTCTTATATGCAGCAGGCTGAAAGAAACCTCTAAGACAGCATAAATGGAGGCACTTGTTACTGATTTTCTTAATTTTACAAAGACAAATAGATAAAAGTAACATCATTCATGAATATGCAATTTTAAGTAAATTAAATGTCAAATGTTATATTTGTAACTCCTACAAATAATGTAACTCTTGCATATGTTTACCACCACACCCCACGACCTGCTGGATAAGGCTGATTCCCACTACAGCACTGTCAGCTGCAGGGTTTTTTTACCATCAGATACTGAAAAATGAGTTTGATGAATTGCTTCCTACACACCAACTAAATTCTGTTGACCCCTGATCACAAGAAGATGTGTTCTAAAAAAGGCACTTATTTTAGTTCTAAGCTCTGCTTTTCTAAATATAGAAAAATACCAAATGAGAAGTTCCTACAGTTTGACCATCAATCTCAGGGGTAGGTGACAGTTGCCCTGCTGAGCATAAGTATGGAAGGGAAACTCTAAGACTGGGCCAGGAAAGTAGATAAAATGCTTGCTTCACTATAAGCACAGTGTAAGCAGAAAAAGCTGTCCTACAGACTCTTTAAACATAGAACACGGCACATGTTCATACGCCTTTCTGAATGGGAACCTCAGAAACTTCCCTTTCTGGAGTCTGCATCACTGGTTTTCACAGTCTAGAGCTCAGTTTCCAACAGACATGCCTACTCCATCAAAACAGATGAAGGAAAGTGCCCCTTGGTTTTGTCCTTGTATTTCACCCTCCTCTTTCCAGACTCCCTGCTCCCAAGCTGTTGGCTGAGTCCCAGCAACAAGGAGGAGACATCATGGTAGAGATTAAATCCACCCAAGAAGACATAGGAATTCCTCCAGCAGGGAGAGTCCCTCAGAGGAGAACTGGCTGTGAAGGTTCAGCTTTCTGTTTGCATGCAGCTAATATCTTTGCATAAGCCTCTCCCATTCTATTCCTCACTCACTCTATGATAACTTTCATAACATGTTGTACCAGAAACATTTAATTAAGATTTCTGGATAAAGACACACAGATAGAAAAGTGCCATTTTCTTCAGCGTACCCAAAGCTTCATAAAGCCAGAGCAGGAATCATTTCCAGTCTTAAGTTAGTTACCTGGTAGCCAGGGAAGTCATTATCTTATAAATTATTTATTATTCTGTGGCTCCAAACATAACAAACTCTCCCAAGAATCCAAAATCAGAATGTAGAAACACATATATGCTCACGCCTACATTCATTACTTGGCTCATGCACAACTTTCTTTCATATAAATACTATGTATAATTTTATTAGAAAGAAATACTATTTTGATGTTAAGACATCAAGTTATAAGCAAAAGAATAATAAAAGAGTTTGTTATTTTATTAATATTAGAAATATATTTAATGGAAACATTTGCAAGAGTGTATAGTGATGGGAAAATGCTGACTGTTAATGAGTTTAACAAAATTATAAATCTTGGAAAATGTTTTCTTTCAACACTGTGTCAAATACATGCAGGATTAATCTTTCTTGCAATGTGGGGATACTGACACAGAATTCACAGGCTAAATCAGGAAAATGAGGAAAATTGATTGTACATGGAATTAAGGTAATGCCTGAAGTTATTGGTGGCATCACAGCTTGAGTAACCTTCTTCCTAGAAGTATTTCAGAGTTTATACTCTGAGCCCCAGAGAAGCAACAAAAGATGGGGGTGGGGCCCAAGAATTTGTAAATGTCACTAAAATCCATATGTTTGTTCCTATTACACATTCCAGTAACTATACAGTTCACTTTATTTATATATGAAATACTAAAATCTGTATAAAATGACTGTGATTTTATGCTGTATTCATAATAACAAAGATATTTTTTCTTACCCTGTTGGTAGCTGCTTTTGTTACAATCCCTCAAAACACAGAAATGTTGGCTTGAGGAAACAAATAGAAGAAAATCTCCTTACGCTGCTCTTCAGCATTTTTCTTGGAGCTGAATTACATTGCCAGGAGTACTGAAACAGAGAACCATAGATATATGAATAGCTTGGGTTGGAAAGGACCTTCAAAGTTCACCTAGTCCAACCCCCCAGCAATGAGCAGGAACATCATCAACTGCATCAGGCTGCCCAGAACCACATCCAACCTGGCCTTCAGGGATGGGGCATCCACCACCTGTCTGGGCAACCTGTGCCAGTGTTTTACACCCTCTTTGTAAAGAGTTCCTTCCTCACATCCAGCCTGAATCTCCCCTCTTCTAGTTTAAAACCATCACCCCTTTTCCTGTTGCATACAGGACCTGCTAAAAAGTCTCTCCCCATCTTTCTTACAGGCCCCTTGTAAGAACTGAAAGGCCACAATTACGGTCTCCCTGGAGTCTTCTCCAAGCTGAACAAGCCCAGCTCTCTCAGCCTTTCCTGATAGGAGAGGTGCTCCAGCCCTCTGATCATTTCTGTGGCCCTTCTCTGGACCCTCTCCCAACACATCCGTGTCTTTCCTGTACCGAGCACTGCAGAGCTGGACACAGGTGGGGTCTCACCAGAGCAGAGGGGCAGAATCGCCTCCCGTGACCTGCTGGCCATGCTGCTTTGGTGCAGCTGAAAATACAGTTGGCCTTCTGGGCTGCAAGCGCACGTTGCCCCCTCATACCAAATCTTTCGTTCACCAGTACTCCAAGTCCTTATGCACAGGGCTCTCAATCCCATTGCTCCCCAGCCTGTATCCATACTGGGGGTTTACCTTTTGCACTTGCTGAACCTCAGGTGGACATGAGCTCTTGCAGAACAGGGCTAGTTTGTGTAAATACGACAGACACACACCTCCACAATTATGTGGCAGCTCCTGCACCCTAGGAGGGCTTCTTGAGGTGAGATCCAGCCTTACCCCATGCTGCCGGTATACACAGCTCCTGCGCAGCATGGGGATGCGATACAGGGGTCTGAAGCACCACCGGTACTGGGGTGAAGGAGGGAGTAAGACAAAGACCCCATGAAGACAGTGTTCCGCACCCCATCATAGCCGCGGTGCGGGGCACCACGGAGACCGGCTGCCCTCCTTCCTCCTCTCAGAGCCCACCCTGCCCGGCCGCCGGCACGGCCTGGCCGCGGGTCCACCGTGTCGCCTCAGCGACAGCAACACGGCGCCGGCCCTGCCGCCCCGGAACTACAGCTCCCGTCGTGCAGCGCGGCAGGGCGGGGGCTGCCGGGCGCTGCATCCCACGGTGCCCCGCGGCGGAGAGTCGGGCTGGGCCGGGCCGCGCCGCGCCGGGCGGGACCGTGAGGGCGGCGGGATGCGTCTGTCGGTGCTGGCCGCCATCTCCCATGGCCGCGTGTTCCGGCACCTGGGGCTGGGCCCGCGGTCGCGCCTCGACCTGCTGCGCAACCTGGTGACGGCGCTGGTGCGGCACGAACGGATCGAAGCGCCCTGGGCGCGGGCCGACGAGATGAGGGGTTACGCCGAGAAGGTGAGCGGAGGGGACGGGACGGGACGGGACGGGGCTGAGGGGCGGCCCAGGGACCCTAAGGGCGCTGCCTGTTTTCTCCTGCAGCTTATCGAGTACGCCAAGCTGGGTGACACCAACGAGCGCGCCATGCGCATGGCAGACTTCTGGCTGACGGTAGGTGCCTACCCCCTTCCACTCCACATCCCTCTTCACCCCCTCCAGCCGCGGTGCTGGCGCTGAGTGTGCTGCCCCGCAGGAGAAGGACCTCATCCATAAGCTGTTCAAGGTGCTGGCACCCCGGTTCCAGCCCCACTCCGGCAACTACACCCGCATGCTGCATATTCCCAACCGGGATGGCCTTGACCGTGCCAAAATGGCAGTCATCGAGCTCAAGGGAAACCCGTTGCCACCGCTTATCCGCCAGCGCCGCGACAGCGAGAAGACGCTGCTCAACCAGCTCCTGAAGGGCTACAGGGAGGACATGCAGCAGGCGGCAGCCCCACAGGCCTCCGGGGGCACCCCGGTGTAGGCAGCCCCCTCTGCCCCTGGGTGCACAGGGACGGGGCTTGGCATCAGCAACCCATGCACCAACCAGCCTGTTGCTGTCCTGGAGTGTGTGGAGGCATGGTGTCCTCAAGGTTGATTACTACCCTTGAGTTGCCATGGTGGAAGCACAAGGTACTTGCTTCTTCGTGTGGTGTGAATAGTGTTGGCAAAGAGAAGGAAATCAAGCTGAGAGCCCTAATGGCTGATACACTCTCTGTAAATAAACTCTGTTCAAAAGTGGGTTTGCTTCTATTTCGGTTATATTCCTGTGCACATGAGTTGGTAACTTTCTGCAGAAAAACCCTCCAAGAAACTAACACAAAATGCAGCAAACAAAAAAAACCCCACACCACTAAACATGTCGGGTTCCTTCCTTGTTGAGTTTCACAAGACAAGAAAGTGATCCTGTATAGTAAGGTAGCTGTATGGAAAGATAAAAACCGTCAGGACGCTTGTTTTACACAGTACCATTTGTGTTTTAATGAATTCCAGTGAGAAATTAATAGGTGTGTGGTACTGTTGAAGCAGAAGAAAATGGTTAAAACTAGTAGAAGTGATACTCTGACAGACCTCAGTCTTTATGTTTCTAATGACCTTCAAGTTGGCCACCTTGCAATTGTTTGAACAGATGTTCTGTGACTCAAGAAGGTGAGCCAAACTTCTACTGCTGCAGAGCTTCCACATCATTCAAAGTCATAGAATAGTTTGGGTTGGAAGGGACCTTACAGATCACCTGATTCCAGCGCCCCCCTGCCATGGGCAGGGACACCTTCCACTAGAGCAGGTTGCCCTAAGCCCTGTCCAGCCTGGCCTTGAACACTGCAAGGGATGAGGCAGCCACAGCTCTGGGCAACCTATGCCAGTGCCTCACCACTCTCATGGTAAAGAACTTTTACCTCATATCGAATGTAAATCTGTCAGTTTAAAGCTGTTCCCTCTTGTCCTGTCACTACATACCCTTCTAAAAAGCCCGTTCCAGATTTGTAGACCCCCATTAGGTGCTGGAGGGATGCTTAGACACTTCTCCATGCCGAACAAGCCCAACTCTCTCAGTCTGATTCACAGGAGAGGTGCTTCAGCCCTTGGAGCATTTCTGTGGCCTCCCCTAGACTCGCTCCAACAGTTCCATGTTCGTCTTTTGCAGGGGGCCCCAGGGCTGGACACAGGACTGCAGGTGGGGTCACTTCCTTTGAGCTGCTGGTCATGCTGCTTTTGATGCAGCCGAGGATACGGTTGGTTTCTGAGCTGCTAGCACGCACTGAAGCTGGCTCATGTTGAGCTTCTCATCGTCCAACACCCCCATGTCCTTCTCCCCAAGGGCTGCTCTCAATCCCTTCTTCACCCAGACTGTATTTCTGCTGGGATTGCCCCAATCCAGGTGCAGGACCTTGTACTTGGCCTTGTTGAACTTCATGAGGGTGGTACTGGCCACCTTTCCAGCCTGTCAGGGTCCCTCTGGATGGCATCCGTTCCCTCCAGCATGTCAACTGCACCACACAGCTTGGTGTCATCAGCAAACTAGCTGAGGATGCATTAATTCCACTGTCCATGTTGCAGGCAACATTAAACAGGATCGGTCACAACACCAACCCCAATTCTGTGTTGAGGGTTTAACAAAATACTCAAGAATACCTTATGTATATTTCTTCCTTAAATTGGTTTTTCAGCCTTGTAAGCTGAATCCTACCTAGCACGTTACCAGCTATTGAAAACCCAGAGTACTGACTGTAGCCTCCTGTGTGCTTCATAAGCAGAGGTGCTGCTTGAGCTTTTCATTTCAGCATTTCAAGGCTGCTGCATACCAGGGAGGACAAAGGCAAGTGCTGTTTCATCTGCATAATTTCTCAGAATTCAGATTAGAAGTGTGAATGCTGTTTGATAAACCTACATCTATGTTACCTACCAGTTTATTTCAGATAGTTCAGCAGATTAACTTTTCTGTGGGACTGATGAGCATCTGAGAGATAGGATTTTAACCACTGAATGATCTTCTCTTTATCTGCCTGCTTTCTTAGAGGAGGAGAGGCAATAATTGTGAAACTGTTTTGGCAGAAAACTCAATGAATGATGAAGATATGTCAAAGGAGGAAGATGGCTGTGGCCCTCTAGTACTAGCTGAAAATACAGTGTTAAGCTCATGTTACCGTTTTCCAAACCATCCCTTTTGATCAAAGGACCCAGCAACAAGAGCAGGTAGAAATACATGTAGACAAATAAATGTGAAAATACTGATTTAGAAACACAGATGGATAAAAATATTTAATGAGGGAAAGCAAGTCAGACTTTCTCACGCTTGTCCTTAATAATGTAAGAGGGGTGGGGAATAAGCATAGAAGAGCTAGAAGCTTGTAAGCTAAACTGGGGAAAAGTCATGATACAGATTTTTTATATACAAATCCTCAGTGTGCATATCTATTTTTTTCAGTATCTGTGTTAAGATTAGGACAGTTGACAAAGCATTCATTCAGTCTCACAAGCACAGTGGTAGTCCCTATAAATGCATTCTCTTATTATATGTCCTTGAACATTTCCTAAGATTGTGTAGGTTTCTACAAAGAGAGGCGACTGTCCTGGCAGTCTGTCTTCTACTCGAGTGGGTCAGGCTTTCAGCTGCCTGTAGAGGAAGAACAAAGGGGAGTTCACTGTTCATACATGAAATCTGTTCCCAGTATTCCTTTGTACCCTAGCTGCTAGAGCCAGGTCTTCTCTGTCAGCCTCATAACCATGTAATACATGCAAATACACAAGTCCATAAGACCATTTTTATGTTCCACCCCCTTCCCTCAGCCCCTTTCTCCCTTGGAAAATTGAGCCCTACCTGACTGCAGCTGCAAGACTCTGATACCAGTCATTAATATCTTGTTGGTCACTGGACATCAACAACAGTGTCTTGTGTGGAAAGGAAAGCTGAAAGGCAAACAGAATCTGGTGTCACCTGTGTCATTCCTTACTAAGGCAGCAGCTCTGATAAAAACAGAGCTATCAGCACTGAATTCAACTCTGCCCTGCATGTTGATTCCCCCATCTTCTTTGCCAGATAGAATTTAGCATTGGTACTGTGAGAGGCCAGTACAGAGCCATTGCCAGCCTTGTGCCTTCCTTGCAGCCACAGACAACAGCTGATTTTGACTTAACAGAGTGTTAGGAAGTGGGCATACATAGGTCTTCGCAGCCGTTTATCCAGTTTTCTGTCGTATTCCAAACTGCCCCTAGGGGTCCTTCCAATACCACCATGTACAGATCACAGCCTGCCTGCTGTCTTTCTTGTCGTAGCTCACAAGGAATGAGATTAACAACAGTCCCCAGATACTGTAACCCAGGAGGACCTGACCTGGAAACCCTTACCCAGGGCATCAGTCCCAGTGAAAGACCCTTCAGTCCTCAGAGTTAGATGCACAAGCAATATCTGCTGAGCTAATACCCACATCTTTTTGCATTCTCTTCACAGTCAGTGTAATGCTACATATTCATTGTCATGTGACTGAGGGACTGTCTTCCCAAAATGTGGCTCTTATGAGGGCACCTCAGAGTCTTATCAGACCTCCTCACCCGACCTAGGTGAAGTAACCAGCAATCTGTACCCCAGAGTGCTCAGGATGGCCTATGCCATGAAGGGAAAAAGACCTACATCACACAAGAGAGAAGAGCTGCCCTAACCCATACTAGTTCATTGCACTTACGTTGTCACCACCCTCTTCATCTCAGTGCTGCTGCTGCTGAAACAGCTAGAGACCTACTTTGCATGCCTGACTCCATTAATGTTTCTGCCAGGCAGAAGCAGGAATACTTACACTGAGGAGCCCTCCCTGGCTCTTTGTGTGACCAAACACCTTATCCACTATGCACTGGTGAAGTGGGTAGACAGCCTGGCATGCCAGTTTGTTTGAATTCAGTGGGTGCAGTGGGTGACAGGGCTTTGTTGAAATGAAAATATCAGAAAAGAGGAAGCACATCCTGCGCTTCAGTTCTTCTCCCTTCGAAGGCACCACCAAAAGCCAGCCTTCCCGGACATACCAGCGCCCTAGACATGCGAGGGAAATAAAAACAGAAAACAGTTGTCAGAAAAAAAGGCAAAAAAACTGATGTAATGAGACAAACAGGAATACAATGAGCCACGGTTGTAGGTTACCAGGCTCTACAACAATTTCAGCCACTAGAAGGCGCTGAATATCAAGTATGGCAACTGACAACACCCATGCGGAAGCAGTTACCAGCCCAAAACGTAGTATAGGAGAAGCAGATGAAGTTATGTCTGTGTTAATTAAGACGAATTATGATATGCAAGCCTGTGTAAAGAGACCAGAACAAAAACATAGTTTGAAATGATATGCATGCCTTTAAATTAACATAAGCCATAAATTAACATAAGCCATCTTAGAAGAGTCATCTACCCATGAAATGATTTGCGTTAAAACAAAAGGCAGAGAAATTGACAGGGGAAAAAGTCAAAACAGTTTGATAAACCTAGGTGTAAGCAGCAATTTTGTAAGATACAAAAATGGCATCTACAGAACATGGAATAATTAAAGCAGTGCATCTAGTGAGGAGGATTATTGTACAAGACAGCCATTAACTTAAGGGAACCACAAAGACACTTGCCAGTAAGAATATTTCTAAAAATCTTTAGCCATCATAATAAGGTATTGCCATCTTGCCTAGTCTGGAAAACACCTGACCGGGAATTTCAGCCATTGTTTTCTGGGCCTCACCTTCTGGCTGAGCTAAGAAGTACCTTTAGAAAACAACATAATTTTGTTTCAGTTACAGATTTTGTCTTAGTATGCTACAGCTCCAGGACACAGAGGCAAGTGAATTCCTGCTTAGTTTACTCCACAGGAACCACTCCTCTTATATGAATGAGAAACTGAGAAAGGTGAGGTGCAGGAATCAGTCCAAGTTTAAAAAACAAATGGAAGGAAGGTGTTAGCAGCATAGTGCTGGACTAGGAACTGTTTTCCTTCAACCTAGGTTATGATCAGACTCCCTGGCAAACAGTCTGAGCTGGTCTGTGTTGGAAGTTTTGGGATACAGATTCATGCTTAGAAATCCCAGGGGCACACAATTTAAGAAATTCTTGTGAAAGGAGGGGAAGGAAATATCCCTGTGGAAGCTAGGGATAATAGAACAATGTGCTATGTTAAGGATGCGGTTCTGGCTAAGACTGTGTTTGCCCTGTATGTGGAAGGCAGCGAGGAAAGCAGGATCTCTTTTCACTAGGAGCAGTATGTCTCAGAGACACAGCAAAATGGGAGACACCTAACTCCAAAGCCACCCCTTTTATCTGAATCTATAGCATTGTCCTAGTAACAGGATGAAATGGTAACAGTTGGTAAAAGCTAGCTTGCTTCTTGAAAGCTGGGCCAAAACTACCAAGCCCCAGCTGCCTCTTACTTTTCTGCTTCTTACATCCAATAATATCTATTTTACCCCAGCTAACAGAAAACACGGCCATCACAATTCTCTGTCCCAGATAACGGAAAGGTGTCTATAGACTCTCAATACTTGCCTTACTACACATCTCACAATAGTCAGAGACAAAAATGTGGACTTTCAAATGATGGCCAAAGCTTTCAAATGATGGCCGTCTCTGGTCTAGCTATACTGTTATGGTGTTGGGTATTTTGTTATAGGGTTATCTTATTAGTTCTGTCATTCAGGATAACTGATGTACCTTTTTACTTAAGCACTACCCCAATGTGCACAGGCACCCACACACATGCTCATGCTGAGTATAAGCACAGCACACCTGTATGAGCTCACTTTCATCTAGCATCACCAAAAGTATTCCAAGAAGAAAGAGAAGAAGAATTGTAAATTAATCTGCCCATTGACTAAGCATCTTTGAGAATGGTAACCTCTGATAAATATTCTCTTATTCTATCCATACTGGCTTGGCTGGGATAGAGTTAATTTTCTTCAAACAAATAGCAGCTGGTATGGGGCTGTCTTGGATTTATGCTGAAAACAGCATTTACAATATAGGCATGTTTTGGTTAATGCTGGGTAAGCACTGCTCAGCCTGAAGGTTTTGTTCTGCTCCTCACCCCACCCCATCAGTGAGCAGGATGAGGGTGAACAAAGAGTTGGAAGGGAACACAGCCAGGACAGCTGACTCCAGCTGACATTCCGTACCTTATGATGTCATGCTCAGCATAAAGAGCTGGGGAAAGGAGAAGAAAGTGGGGATGTTTGGAGTGATGAAATTTTGTCTTCCCAAGTAACCACTATATGTGATGGACCCCTGCTTTCCTGGGGATGGCTGAATGCCTACCTGCTGATGGGAAATGGTGAATGAATTCCTTATTTTGCTTTATTTGTGCATGTGGCTTTTGCTTTATCTGTTGAACTACTTTTATCTCAATCCACACATTTTCTTACTTTCACCTTTCTGATTGTCTCACCCATCCCACTAGTGGATGTCTTCATGCAGAAATCCACATGTATGAATTACAGACACATTCACAGCTACCTGGAGGTGTGCCTTAGAGATCTTTACACACAGTGACTTTAACACTCCTGTCCAGCTGTAGCACTCTTTCTAGAATACCTCTGCAATAGCAGTGTTTCCTGAGAGAACTGGCAAAGCACCAAGTCACCATTTCATAATTGCCCAGACTGGGCACTTTTCTCACAATATTTCATAAGTAGCTTGGAGTGTGCTCTGGGCATGAAGAGCACCCAGTTGCACAAGAGGTCATAAACTTGTTAACCAATTAGATATCACTTTATATATCTCAGCTATTAACACAAACAATCTGACTTTAGGAACAGCTTAACCCTGCAGATAAAAGAAGATTCTTTATGTGAAGAGTGTGAACAGAAGTCTATGAAGCTTGTACCTTAACGTAAAAACTACCAAAGTCCTTGGGCTCTTGACACTCATGAATCTATGGCTCATGCTGTGGAGTAGGGACACCACCACTTCTTACACTCTTCAAAAATCATTTAATGTGTGTTTTTCATTCTCATCCAGGACTTACACTCCTGACCTCCTTAGAGTCCTGCTATAAACTTTCTAACTATATATTATCAGCACCCCCTATCTGAATGTCAGGCAATTAAGCTGCTGCTTATCCTTACTCAAAAATTGCTGACTTTAAAAAAAAGTGCTTGAATTATTAGTTATATTCCTTCATCCCCTATCTATGGAATTTGGGTAAAAGGGTAAAACTGGTTAATATGAGTTGAGTCAGACATGAAGGCAAACATATCTCTATCTTGGCAGCATAAAAACAGTAAGGCCCACCTGCAGTCAAAATCTGTATCTTCTCTCCTTTCAGCAGTTTCTGAACGCGAAGTAGCTGCAATGAGTTCTCTCTCTTATGAATGATGTCTTGTACCCACTGAGATACCTCAGAAACAGATTTCACAGCCTCTGAAATTATAGCAGCATATTCTGAGGTTATCACAAGTGAGTACATCTTACCGCTTATCTATCTTGCTGGGAAAAGATAAAATGAAATTAAGGAGCAAATGTTGTAAACTGAGTATCAACAATAAATTTATTCAGTAATTTCAGCAAGAGAATTGGACTAGATGACCTCCAGAGGCCTCACTCCCACTAACAATTCTGCAGTTCTAAAAAACCCCAACATTTATTTGACAACGAAACATTAGACAGATGAATAATTTCCTGGATTTGGATGCAGAAACAGGAAAAATGCCTATAAGTGGTGTTAACTGCTAGTAAATACAGCATGAAGGTCATGAACTGCTATAGAAAATCGAGGCACATGCCCAAGATTCACAAAGCAGTTGGGGTTGGAAGGAAGCTTTAAAAATGTAGTCCAAATGCCCTGTGATGGGCAGAAACATTTCTCACAACACCAGGTTGCTCACAGCCCCATCCTACCTGACTTTGAACACTTCCAGTAATTGGACATCCATAGGGTCCCTAGGCTCCTGTGTCTCACCACCCTCACAGTTAAAAAAAAGAGCTGCCATTTCTCTGACCTAACCCATAGGCCACTTAACCCAGTCAGTTACACTACACTTTTATTCCCAATGTGTTCTCAGGGACACCTTGATTGAAATAGAGAAGGGAAATAGTAACTTATTAGAATCTCAGAGAGAGGAAGATTTTTCTTCCTGTGGAGGTAGACAGAAGATGAGAATTCAAGTATTATTAGCAAGGAGGCTAACACAGATCAAAGTGCCAGTATCTACAGGTAGAATCATACTTGCAAGTTTCTGGTACTCAGGGCTGTCTGGGTTCGTATTCTCCAGCAAGTCTCTGAGGAAGTGCTTGTACCTAAGAGAGAGAAAGCAGGTTTATATCACCTAAAGATACCAGCATCAGCAGCATCTCCTATTAGTGACAGAATGATGCACAACCCTCCACCAGGAGATGGAGTGCACACCTCTAAGCCTAACCAACCAATATTTGGTCATAATTCTTCAATTACATTCATTTCATCTTCAAAGTTATCAACTAAATTAACCCAAGTATTTTATACATTTGCAACCTTAGGCATTTCCTGGGAATCTGATAAAAGCAACCTCACATATTATTGAAGTTCATGAGACTTTCTTAGAATTCACATAAAAATGCCTTCAATAACTGTCAATTTTCCCTTTGAACTAGTTTTTTTTTTAATGTCTGAATAGTAGCATTCATACCATGACTCCTACCCACAGAAGAATATAAAGGCATTTCTATAAGAACTAGGAGCTGCCTTTTTCTTTTTTCCTCTCCAGTCTTTACCAGAAGGCATCAGATCTCTGCAAATGCTTTCTCTCAATAAAAGTCAAGTTATTTTCAGTCTGAACTGACAGAAGAAATATCACATTGAATAGATTCATGAACTGGCAGAACTCATATGACCTGCAGTATATGTAACAGGGTTTCAAAAACACTTGAACACAAGAGTTGACTAATGAAAAAATTAGACCTTCTGTTAAAAAGCCATAATTTTTCCAAACAGTTGAACAGTAACAAACATCCTGCTATTTTACAAATTAAAGGAAGGTTCCAAAGAATTACAGGAAAAGCAAAAGGCAGAATTTGTATCTGCCAAGCTGATTAAAAAGGTTGCGTAAAGCTACCTGAAGGACTGTTGTACTCTCACTTCTAATTATTTTCAAAGAAATGAGGCTCTCAGCCTCTCAAATTTGCTTTAGTGCAGCTAAGGCCATGCTTAAGAGCAGCTACTTGATCTATAGTAGCAGCAGCTGGGTTGCCAGGAAACTACCTTTGCTCTGTACAACTCATACTCTCACCAAGAAAGAGCTGTCCTTGAATGCACGGAGCACTACCCTTGTGCAGGCAGCTTGCCTCTTCAAAGCGGAGATGATGCCTCAAGGGGCAGAATACAGCAATCAAGGCTGGGTCTGTCCAGGCTCAGATAACTGCAATAGGTACCAAATTTGAGAAAAGCATATTGTCCTGAAAACCAGGGAGGGGGAAAAACCTTCCTTGTTTAGCTCATTAATCTTACCTCTCTCCAAAAGTAACAATTTACAAGGGAGAAGTCACAAGTTTCAGGTCAGCAACCCACACAAAAGCAGAGAGCACTACTTCTGCAGCACTTTAGAAGCTTGCCTTTGTTCAGGGCCTAATTCAGTAGCTTATCAAGATGATAGAGAGCCTCCATTTCATTTCTACCCAAGAGCTAGATGAATGGCTTTGGAGCCAGCACTGAATGCAGCTACCTCTCTATGTCATCTCCCTTCCATGTATACTGACTCCACTTTACAGGCATGTCTTCAGGTCTGTTTTATTGCTGTCTGTATGCTCGGATTTTGAGACACATTAAGCACTTCACCTCTCATAGCAACCAATATACTGTTATGTTCCCTTTTCCTTCCTTATACTAACATCTTGAAGACTCAGAATTGTTTACTTACTGGTGCAGCCTCTGCAGGGGCAAAGGAAGCAGATCCTCTAGCCTCCTCCCTTGAAACTGAGGTCGAGCCTCTTGGAGTTTCTTAAACCGTCGGAATGACTTATTTTTCCTCAATTGCTCCTGTGTGTGGCATAAAAGGGATATAGCTTTCAGACTATAAAGAGAATTATGTGCTCTAGTCTGCACCAGAGCTTGGAACTGTTAGAGTTTAGAACTCCAGTACAAGACAGAAGTACCAACAACTTATTTTGTGGCCATTCCCTTCCCCTGGCCACCATTTCCAGTGAGTAGTTGAAGTGATATCCCCTTTTCATATATGCATGGCAGTATAAACCTGCTGCATTTAATGAGAATACATGCACAGCTAGTATACTCAGGAAATGGAAATTAAAAAAAAAAGGGAAGGTCGACTCAGATAGGAAAACAAGGAGTACGCCTGTGGTTCTGCCATTCCTTTCAAGACAAAGCAATCTTTGCTCCCCATCACCTAAAGGCAAGTATCCAAAATGGCCTTTTCTCTTGAGAAATCAAAAGTGGGAATTTATGCATGCAAACAGACAGAAGGGAAACATCCCAGTACATACTGCAGCTAGGAACAATCACAGACAAAAACTGTAAGTCGGGTGTTTTAAATTCCAGATACAGCTGTCAGGACTTTGAAATAAAAATACATCCTTCTGAAATCTCTTGAATCACAGGTTGTATTTGGAAAGGTAAGTGGGAAGGAATTTTTTTTTCTTCTATCATAGAAAAAAAATTGAAGGAAAAGAAAATCCCAGTTAGAATACAGGTAATGGTAGTGGGAAAGACTAGAAGACCCGATAATTCTCCAGAAAGAGATCACTGTCCTGTAGTGTTCCCACTGCAAACTCTCCAGGTTTGACAGTCAAGGAGGAGTGGGGATAAATACAGAACTCTGAGAAAGGTGGGCTCAGTGTTTGCACACACATAGGTTCATAGACATCTAAAAAAAGATTCAAAAATTTGAAGTTCTACATCAGGAGAGTTTTCACCATTCTATTATGGCAGAAAGACTGAGAAAAATAGCAGCAGCCCAGAAAAAGGAAAGAAAGCTGCTCACTCCAGAAACAGAAGAAAAAGGGAAGGATATAGCTGTTTCACAGAATGGACAGAAGGAAGAAAGTACATGAAAAATAAAGAAGATATTTACCTTCAAAGTTTTATTTGCCTGCTCCAAATTCTCAATGTAGTGGGCATAAAGTTCCAGATTCTGACAGAAATTTTCCAGTCCTGGTCCCAGATTCCCTCTCTCCAGGTGAAGCGCCAGAACACTGCACAAGGAGCAATGAGAGCCCATGAGGGGTACACTACTGATGGTGTTTTCACAGCTCCCTCTGGTTCAGTTCTGTTCTGACCTTTCTTTGTCAGCCTCCACCTTGGTTTATGTGCCAAATACATGCTTGGTTGTCACAGAGTAAACTAAAGAAAACATCGCTTAAAAATAACACAGAGCAGACTTACTGGGTTTAAACTATTATCCAGAGAGCAACTGGACATCCAGATATGTGGATACAGATCAGCAGCTTCCTGGGTACACCTGCAAGTGCCACGAAGGCTAGCAGTGCTATAAGTGAATGCCTGTTTTACAAGGTGGTAGCTTTATTTCCTGAAATCTTTCTTTCTCATCAATATAGGGTCCTCCCCATATAATTACAGGAATCACATCAGTGTGTTCACTTACTGGCTGGCCGAACATATGGATTCCAGGGGTCCAAATATGGTTTCCAACACAGCAGGTTTCAGTGTCCCTTTTGCCTTTAAAATTGTCACAAAAAACTAAGTACGGAAAAAGAAAGAATTTCAAACAGGTAGAATTCACAGATCCCTCAAATGTTATTCATGGTACACAGCAGAAGCAAGAAGCTGAAGCCTGCACTCTCTCTAGCTCGAAAGGAAATTGAATATTGTGAATCCTACGTAAGATCTCTGTCATCAGATGTAATCCTTCTTGGTAAATTTGACTGTAACTGTAAACATGTGGAACAGTACTATAGCACTAATAAGAGTCTATTTCAGTATTCCTAGATGCATCCAGTTTTCACCACGTTGTTCATTATCAGTCTTTGTCTTGTCTGTGCACCTACATTTCATACACCTCAGGCATCTTAAGATGAGTCCCCTATACAGTCAAAACTGATTGCAACTTGATTTGTGTCTGTGTACAGACCAAAGCCATGGGGCCAGTACCCTGAGCTACTGGATATTACAGAGGAGGTAAAAGAGAAACAACAAAAAAAACCAACTTTCAGCCCCATGTTGTCCCATGCAGTAGAAATGTCTCAGTCTTGCTCTTGACCTTCCCCACGACAACACAAATAAGAACATGCTGCCTGAAGGTACCCACGTATCAGAAGGGACTAAAATACTTACTGTGACCACCAAATCCAGCTGCTCAAGGTATCTGTGTTCAGTTTCCAGCAGCTCCTTGGCTGTCCGGCTGCGCTTCCTCTCCCAGCGAGCCCTCTGCTCTTCCACAGTGTTTGCTCCAGCCATAAACAGCAGGGGCAAGTCACTCATGACAACCTCAGGGCTGATACACAGAAAGGTAACTGACCCTGAAGAGCCAAGAGAGATGGACAAATAAGAAAAGATGGGTATGATTCTGAGCTACAAACTCTGCACTTTATTATGAAAGAAAGGAAGTTAATTGTGAGCAACTGTTGTTAACAGTTTCCTTCTGCACTCCTACCCACAGGTACATCAACCAGAGGAGCAGTGTAAGAAAGACCAAACCATGAAAACAAAAGCAGTACATTACAATATGTCTATGAATAATTCTCAAGCATGCAATCCCACTCACAAACCACTGCTTCCTGTGCTTTGCCCCATTATTTGTGCAAAATTTTCTGTAAGCCCAAGGAAGCCAGTGGGTGGCAGAGGTACTGTGGGTAGGAGCAGAAAGCGGCCATAAGATTTGCCTTGGGGAGGAAAGAGAAAGAAAGAGCACATTCTTGCTTTTTTTTCCCATGGAGGTTTCCAAGAAACAAGTGGTTTACATTGTCATTTTCTAACAGTATTTTGTGGTTTGAGATGAGAGAAACTCAGTAACTGCTGTGAATCACACTATCCACTTAGTGACCAGTTTCACTGCTGCTCTTCTCTTCTGCAAGAGCATCATGTTTTGTTACAAAGAAAAACACTCCCTCTTTTACTGCCTTCCTCAGAGAAAGACGCATGTGTTAGCTCAGCACCAGTTAAATATTGCTCTGCCTTTTGATCAAAAGGCAGCGCAGGCTGTTGCACACTTGCCATGGCATGGAGCCTGGAGTTTCTCTGGAAGCTGAACTACCTCCACAAAAGTTCATCCCTATGTGGGTGAGATACACGAATACATGAAGATGTGTCGCCTTAGGGAAGGAAATTTGTCAAATACAGCCTTCCAGAGATATTTGATACCTAAACAAATGTCTGAAACAAAAGTTTCACATCAAATGAGTATCAAGACTTGTTTAATGAGTTAGCAGAAGTCTGGATAGTGAGGGGCATGGGCAGCATTTTATAGCAGCAGAAGCTTCTCTAGAGGTGTCATTCATGACACAACCACAGGCCTAGCTAAGGCCATGTCTCAGTCAAACAGGGTAGACCCAGCACCCCTGCAGGTAATACCACGCCAGAGCTTAGTGACAGCGTGCAGAAATACTCACCAGCAATAAACTAAAATGCTACCACTCACAGAGCACCTTTAGCCAGGGTAGGTTACTGCCATTATTTTCATTTTGAAGCCAAATTTCTTTTAAAAAATAATAATTAAAATAAATAAATAAATGCACACACACACATATATTTATATATATATATATAAATAAATGCACCAGGTTTGACTGTCTCCTGCTCACATAACAAAGCACAACTGCTTCCACTGTTCTAAAATGTATTACATTTAGGCTAAAGCCCGTGAGTAGATTTGAAAATACTACAGGGACAGCAGCATTCCAGCCTGCTTCTCCATTCTCAGACTTGAAATAGAAACCACTGAATGCTTCCTGTACAACTAACTACCCTACGATGCCCCATTAGCAATATTCCCTGTGCTTGGAGCAATGTGTACAGTTCTGGTGTTCCCAACACAAGAAGGACTTGAAGCAAGTCCAGAGGAGGCCATGAGGATGATCAGGGGACTGGAGCACCTCCCGTACAGAGACAGGCTGAGAAAGTTGGGGCTGTTCAGCCTGGAGGGGGCTGTGTGGAGACCTCATAGCAGCCTTCCAGTATCTGAAGGGGGCCTACAAGGATGCTGGGGAAAGGCTCTTCATTAGGGACTGTAGTGACAGGACAAGGGGTAACAGGTTAAAACTTAAACAGGGGAAGTTTAGATTGGATATAAGGAAGAAGTTCTTCACTATGAGGGTGCTGAGGCGCTGGCACAGGGTGCCCAGAGAAGCTGTGGCTGCCCCATCCCTGGCAGTGTTCAAGGCCAGGTTGGACGGGGCTTGGAGCAACCTGCTCTAGTGGAAGATGTCCATGCCTGTGACAGGGGGTTGGAACTGGATGAGCTTTAAGCTCTCTTCCAAACCAAATCATTCTAGGATTCTATTTCTGGTATTAAAACCAGAATTTTAATATCCTCCAAACCCCTCCTTTTATTACGGCAGCACAGCCACTCTTGGTGTGTTGGAAGCAACACCCACCCCATGGGGCAGCTCCACAGCCCGCCTCTGGGGCCGGCGACCATGCGGGAGAGGCCGCGGGACCGTCCTCCCCCTTTCCTGCCTGCTTTAAGCCGGGTCGCCACCGCCTCAGGGTGGCCTTCCCGCTGAGGTGCCCCTCACCACCGCGCCAGGGCAGCCTTTCCACTGAGGGTGCCCCGGATCCGAGGCAGGACCTCCCGGAGGGGCGGACGGAGCCCACAACGAGACCCACCGCCGCCGCCTCAACCCAGCCGCCCGTTACCTGCAGGTCGCCGCTGCCACCGCCCCGCGTTCAAATGGCGGCCCCGCCCCGGCGGGCGTTCCCGGGGCGGGCCGGGGCGGTCCCTGCCGTGCCGGGAGGGCTCTCTGCGGCGCTGCGCGGGGCGGCGCGGGTCGGGGCGGTATGGTGTCCGGCGGGGAGCGGTACCCGGCCGCCGGGTTAGGCGGGGATCTGGCGGCGCTGGCGGAGTTGGACGAGGCGGCGCTGCTGGGCGGGCTGCGGGAGCGGTTCCTGCGGCAGCAGGTCTATGTGAGTGCCGGGGGCCGGGGCGGGGGGCGGCGGCGGCGGCGAGCGCTCGGCTGACGGGCTCTCCCCCTCCGCCAGACCGATGTCGGGGACATCCTCATCGCCATGAACCCCTTCCAGCCGCTGCCGCTGTACGGGAGAGAGGTGAGCCCCCACCGCAGCCCGCCATTGCGGACCCCTGCTGCCTTCCAGCCCCTTTGCCTCATGCCTGCCACCGCTTCCCCGCAGGTCTCCAAGCAGTACCTGTGCCATGAGACCAGCACGCTGCCGCCCCACATTTTCGCCGTGGCCAGCCGGGCTTACCATGCCATGCTGGGCCACCGGGGCAGCGGGCCCCGCAGCCAGTGCATCGTCATCAGGTGAGGGGCAAGCAGGCAGCATGGTGGGCTTGGGGCTCGATGGAGCCAGACCAAGGTGTGAGCTGAGGTTGAGGCCAGTGGTGGCCACCAAGCTCTTACTGGGTTCTCCGCAATGAAGCTGGAGGTGAAGCTCATCTCTGGTGGCACTGGCAGGTCAAAACCGAGTTGTGGTTGAAACGCATCAAACCCGTCCCATTTCCATACAGGAGGTTGCAGATGTGTGACAAACAAAGCTGGCTTCTGTGGAGCAACTCAGCTGCTGATGCTTCTAACGCAGCTGAGTATGCTGGGTTTGCTTCTGGAGAGATGTGTCACTGGAAAGATTTATTAGCTCTGGGGAAATCCATAGGGTGCTCTTTGGCAAAGCAGCTCCCACTGTAACTGCTGTAATAAAGGTCATGCGTAATGAAAAGAAACTGTTTTCCCAAATTGGAGCTTCCCATGTGTAACCAAAGAGCAGGAGAACTTAATACAGAAACTTTTTTTGCCCTAAGACCTTTGGGAATCTGGTTAAGGAAAATCTTGTTTTTATGGGCGGTCCTGTGCACTAGAAGGGGAAAAAGTGGGCTCTTGTAGCCAAAGAGCATACCAGTGTCACGAGCATTTCACGCCATGATGTCACTTTTGTTCTGCTGACACTGTGCAGGGCAGGAGATAGCATCAGCTAACAGAGAAAGCCTCAAACATTATCAACCAGCAGAGAAAGCCTCAAACAGCACGGAGAAGAAAGCCTCAAAACGCTAACTGCCTGTTCTGGTTGTTGTAAAGAACAGTTTAAATGTCAGGTCTGTTTAAATGGTAATTGCCAGCTTGTTTGAGTTAATATTCCCTTCTATATATTGGCCTCCTGAGCATTTTGTTAGTATTTTCAGTATGTGTGGTGTGTAAATGACCTGTTGAATGTGATGGGGGGGTTGGGAGCTGACCTCGAGGTCACTTGAGCACCGCTCATTTCCCTTGCCTGCAGGCCATCGGTGCCTGCACTTTCCATGAAGTGCTCTCATGAAGTGGTGGCCGCAGAGTCAGCAGGTAGAAGAGGTGCTTCTGGTAGGGTTTTTAGGGATGGAGAACAGTCATAGTATTTGTCTGGGGAGATGGAAGAGGAGGAACTGTAGCCTGTGGGTGTTTGTCAGCGGTCTGTTTTCCACTGGCAGTTTGAGGTCTCAAGAGATGAGAGTCTGAGCAGCCTGTGCATCTGGCACAGGCTGTGTGTCTTGTCCATCTGTCAACCCTATTAACTGGTTTGCACGTTACTATCACAGAAGTTCATGGTTTTGCTTTCTTGGTGAGTTGTGAAACACTCATTATTGAGATTACCTGGCATGAGCAAAGTTGGGGTGGAGGAGGAAGAGGAAGTCACTCCTGTTAGACCACAGTTCATCAGACAGCAACGGGATGCACCAGGCTCTGCTACTTTTTGTGGTCTCTTTGGTCTCTCCAACTTAGTCTGGGAGGTCAGGAGGGTGTGTTTCAGAGGTAGACATTGAATACAGCTGCTGCCCCCGGGTGACAAATGCTCATTGCAATCAAGTTGTCCTGTGGTGCAAATTCTGCTGTCTCCTCTTGCCTTCCCAACCCCAGTGGAGGTTAATCACAGCCTGGGTATGCTGTGATAAAGTACTGTGGTCTCTTTGAGATTACTTTGCTTTTCTTCACAGCCTGGGACAGTACACACCTGTAGCTGGATAGTGTTTGCAGGACCTGGAGAAGCTGTTGTGCTTGATGAAGACTACAAGGACAAGCTTGAACCATGGAAGTGCTGACTGGTAGTGTTTTTGCAGAAGAAGGAAGTCACTGAAAACAAAAAAACATCTTATACACTGGGCAGAGGCACTGTCTGCATGGCATGTTCTCAACTGGCAAAATGGTCTTATTTTGTTTATGCATATCCAGATGGTGATTGCCTGATCTGTGCTTGACATCAAGTATCCTGTGGTATTTGAGGTATTTAGACACATATTTGATCCCAAGCACGGAGTCACTGGGAACTACAAAGCAGTAAAGCCACACCAGATGCTCAAAGGTCAGATGTAGAAACAGACACCTGCCCTCAAGTATACCTTCAGCATTTCCTCGTGTTGGGGTTGTTTCTGTGCATACATGCTGAGGTTCTCTGCAGGTACAAGTTGTCAGTCAAGGGCACGTTGTCTCACTGACTGTGCATTCCCTCTGCCAGGACGGGGAAACTGTGCTTTCCAACTGCTGTTGTTTGACTTGGAGGCGGAGGTGCTGGGCACATGTGACAACAGAGTGACGTGCACCACTATGGGTTTGCAGGCAGCTCTGCAGCCGTGTGCCTGCATCTCAGCCAGCTGAACCATGTCAGTGTGTGAAGTGCCTGAGATTTGAGATTGCTGCAGGACCTCAGAGGCAGTACTTGATTGTGGATATCAGATGGATGGGGCGAATGTCATTGAAGAAAGAGGAAGCTGTCAACTCCGGCATATGGGGGAATTGGATGCATGTGATCACTTTTGAAGGAGGTTGCTTTCCAAGAGTTAGATAGTTTTTCCTTAAAGAAGCAGAGAAAATGGTCTGTCATGTGCCCCCTATTCAAAAGCTTGCAGTATATCTGTATTCCCTTGCAGATGGGAAAAATTTTCCTGGGAAGGGATTAAGACCTTGTGGGACCTGCTGTGTAGAACTGTGGTGTGAGTTTGTACTCGCATGTGCAGTTCAGCTGCAAAAGTTGTGGAACTGTTGGATGGGGGAACACTCTGAAGTGATGGGGCAATATGACATAAGGGGCAGAACAACTGCACTTTACAGCTGCTTTGCTTTGCTTTTTCTCGGCAGTGGAGAGAGTGGTGCAGGGAAAACAGAGAGTACGAAGTTATTATTGCAGCACGTAATGAACCTATGCAAAGGCAACTCGCAGCTGGAGCAGCAGATCCTTCAGGTAGGTCTGTACAGGTCCATACAGGATGGTGCATGAAGCCACACTGCTGCAAGACAGCTTGTGTTAGGCTCAGGAAGCCTGCTGATGAATCACCGTTGGAAGGCAG